GTTATTTGGGGCTTAAGCTAACTATAGAAATCAAAATCGCTCATTTTTTTAAAAAAAAACTTTTTTTTTCGGTATTTCTCAGAGATTAGGGTCCATGGATCAAGAACTGATAGCTTCATTAACGAACACAAAAACTTTATTTTGGCCCGCTTTCCCTAAGTCCTTTATTGATATAATATTTTTCTTTGGAGCTCTTAGTTATAATTAAATGATTATGATCGATATATTTTTCTAGAAAATGGTGTCCACTTTTTTTAAATTTTAACTAAAATGTGCTAGACAGTTTTAAATCCTTATTTCTCCAAAGACAGTTCACGTTGAAAACTTTAGAAGTGTTTCCTCGATGCGATTCACATTTTTAAAGTAATGCTATTTATGAGTGAACACTAAACAAAATGCAAGTGTTAAAAATGATCGCCACTGCTCCTAATTGCCTCAAATTAGTTACTAGTTACAAAGCCATTTCGGGACTTCTCTGTTTTAAGGCCCAAAAGTAACGTTTTTCTTATTTTGAAAAGTGGATCAATGCGCACTGTTTTGAATGGTTCAAATTACTTCCGGTGAAAGAAAATCTGGATTCTTAGTGAAAACATCAGCTCATGTATTACATTTTCATAACTTTGGGCTGTATGACAGAAAAAAAACGTCTTTTCTTCTGAAAATATTTTCACTAACAGTAACAGATTTGTTTGATACACCACCTTTTTCAGTTTTTCCTGTAATTTATCTTTTCAGTCAACTGGATTCAACTTTTGGCTAATTAGTTCAAAAAAACTTTCTCAAGTTTTTGACTATTTTCTGTTTATGTCTTAGTGTGACAGATAATGTAGTTTTGATTTTTTTTGGCTGCCCAGGCTGAAGTGTTTGGACTTCCAGGTTTTGACCAAAACGGTGTAACAATGTCCATTTCAATTAAGACAGTCGAACGAAGGCTAACGTCGAACGAAGTCGAATCATGGGCCAATCATGGTCAAATCATGAGTCAAGCAGGGTCTAATTATGGGTCCAAAACGGTCAACTCGTGGTTCAACAAAGTCAACTCATGAGTGTAGCACGGTCGAATTATGGGCCAATCAGGGTCAAATCATGAGTCGAGCAGGGTCAAATCATGGGTCGAAAACGGTCAACTCATGGTTGAACAGAATCAAATCATGAATCGAGCAGGGTTGAATCATGAGTTCAACAGAGTTGAATCATGGGTCGAATAGAAGTAGGAAAAACTGGGCATAAAAAGGAGAAAACGTTCTCATTCGTAATCTTGCCCGTTTGTTTTGTTTTGTTTTTGTTTCTAAAAGTTTTTTGCAGCAACAAATGTTCCAGATACATTTTTTGAAGCCTTCCAAGAAAAACGTTCCAGGAGACCAAAATGGGTATTTTGTAAATTGTAACTGGATTTCGCAACAAGGATGCTCTATTTGTTCTTCTTTTATTCTTCCATGCTCTGTGATTGTTCTGACGAAATAAATTTTAACACGTTTTACGACTTGTCTCTCGATTCCAGAGACACAAACACACCTATTCAGTGCACAATTTGGCCTCCTTTTGAAGTTTTGTCGTACTCTAATAGATCTTTTTAGAATACTCATTCTTCTGGTATGCTGTTATTTTGGACTTGTATAAAATTTTTTGTCTTTTTTTTTCTCAATTTCTGCCGGCTTAGTTAGCACTAACAATCATAAGTTCACACATAAAGAAGTTTCAAATTAACTGGAACATTTTTTGCTTCTACTTTTTATAAAAACTTTTCTGCTACGCTCAACGATAACCTAGTTTTAAGCAAGTCAAAACTTTTTTCGATTATGCCTCCATAAGGTTGTAAAACTAATCTCCAATTGATAAAGTTACAACAAATTTATACCGTCAATGAATTTTGATACTGATGATTTCGGATTGCCAAGGTTTCAGTTGTTGAATCAGAAAATTTTAAACGGCTACGAATGTGAAAAATAAATAATGTAGGAAGTAGTAACGAGATTTAAGGACAAGCCAAACAACCAAAGTTGTTTTAAAAAGAAACAAAAACAAAAACTAAAAACTTTTTCAACGGACCTTTTCAGTTAATAACATTACTCCTAAACCTTTCAAAAGTCCAAAACTAAACCGAGATGCAGCAAAAAAACACCTTCACAACTTACTCTTGATAGTCAATAATAAAATTGGCACAGCTCAGATATAAACGGATTGACTTGATATCACAAAGTTAAAAATCAAGAACAGACTCGCTGAACGACTACAAAACCCAGAACAAATAGAACTTGCGAAATCTAGAAACCCAACAAAACTCATACTTTCATACACAGTAGTGAGAAAGAAATGACAACTTTTTACAGAAACGTTCAAAAGTGCTCTCGAATCTAGCCTTAACGATAGGTCGCCTGAATCAACGCAAAAAGAAATAGAAAACTTAACTGGCAGACAGGTATTTAAAAAAAAAATGACAAGAGTTTCGTTACTTGACAATTGTGTTGCTAAAGTTAAGAGAATTAAAACTGGGATAATCAAAACTGGGATACCTCAATTTGTATTTTTTTCGACGGAAAAAGACATATCTACATTTTGTATACATGATTTTGAAACTGATTTTCAATTTTTCTTGTTGCCCAAAACATACTTGAAAATTTACAAAAAAATATTTCAGAAAATAAAAAACCTCGAAAAAACGCCCCACTTCAAATTTTTTAAAGAAATTTGCAAATATTTGATATGGCTCATCGGAGCCTTTAAACGGTGTTTCTGGCTCGTTTCCAGAGACGCGTTGCTTGCGGCTCGGAAATTTTAAGCATTATGTGGCCTTTTAAGTGTTTTCTTAGAGGGTTAAAACTCTTTTTTCTATAAAAAGATTGTGAATTCTTCCAAAATTTATTTGAAAATTTCGCTTTACTCATCATGGAAGACCAAGATCTTCATCTCGCTCTCGCAGAAACATCAGTTTCTGCCATCTTATAAAAATTACGAAATTAATTTTTTCATGCAAGTTAATATATCGTGACTCAAGATAAAATAATTCATAGACTAACATCTAACATGCTATATATATATAAACAAGGGGATCTAGGTTTACTCGAACGAGAGACCTTTTCTAAAATGTTCGATTTTTTTCAACCTTTTGCAATATCGATCAAACTGAATGTACGAGTTCCGTTTTTGGGCAGTTTTATGATCATTGAGTTTTTTTAGTCAGCTTGGGCTGGTCAGGGGTCATGAAATCCCGGGGGGGGGGGGGGGGGGGAGGGCTTTGGCTTTTCTGTTATGATGGTCGAAATTACCAAAACGTCAAATGAGCTTATATATTTTGAAACTATAAGCCTCTATTTTGTTCTAATCAGAATCAAGCATTTGATCTTACTTTTATGAATAGCAAAACTATAAATTTTGGGCCGTATAACAGAACAGACCCCCCAAGGGGTCCGAGGTTGTCCGCCCGTTCTCTTGAATCCGCCGCTTCTGATAATCTGCTAATTAAAAAATAAATCGGGAGGACATGAATGGTTTTTATAATAATGTTGATGATCCCTGCTTCGTAGTTTTTGTTACATGGACACACTGGTCTATGAATAAAGAATCTTTGGCACTCTTTTTCGTTCCTCTTTATGGAAAATTATATTGACCTCAAGAAGAATACACATAGCATCTGGTTGGAATAACTCGCTGTTTTCTAACTGCAGCTTTTAAATATATACATTTTTTGTTGTGATGATTTTCCTTCTATTTTTTTTACAACTGAAATGCTCAAACGTGAATCATTACATCGGACTGTGCGCTTTGAATGATTGAAAACGGCGTAGACTCTTTTATGCGTTTTACAAACCGTTTAAAGCTTTAGTAGACGGAGCTGAATTTGTCCGTATAATTATTTTCACTAGTTGGTGGTGCTATTGCAAGTTTTCTTCTTTTGGTAACTCTACCACAGACTATCGCTTTGAACGCCGCTCCTAATTGCAGTTTTACTGAAAATTGCCCTTTACCATAAAATATTTGCCACAAAAAATCAAAGCAAATAGTTTCTTAAAATAGATGAAAGTATACAGGAAAAATTTGATCAAACAAATGCCCAGTTATAAGTGATAATTATGAGGTTAAGTGATAAAATTTTTTGGGGTTGGTCGCCAAAAATCAATGCCATTAAAATACCAAAAGCGGACCCTTTGGTTGGTGATGGTCGAATTCCTTTGGTCGAATACCTGAGATGAAAGCGTCTCCCCCCTCGCCTCTCCTAAACGGGCCCCTGAGTTTTACTCTACTTTAATGAATTTGAATTAAATACGACTTTGAGTTCATGTCTGCTTATCTTCTTCGCATTTGTTGGGCCAGCGCAAAAATTGATTGGTATGTAATCGATTTAACCAACTTGAATAATCATTATCAAACCGCGATGGCCATCTATCAATAAAAACATTTATTACCCAAAAAATACAGCTTGAATTCAGTTCCTCTTAAGCTGAGACACGTACCAAACTATTATTATTTAGCAGGTCACAAAAATTTCATTCCAATTTTTCGATTTAATCGATATTTTGATTGAAAATACTCTTTTAATTAAAGAACAGAGCCAGCACAAAATCGCCAGAGCACAACAGTTCCGAGAACAAAACAAAATGTTGAATTTAACCAAATTTTTTTTTCAAAATGTTTGTTTTGAAAGAGAAAAAAGTAATCAAATAATTTAAAACAACAAATGATTTGCGCAAAATTGCCAAAAATTTATAGACATCAAACTCATAGTTCAAAATTTATAGTTCAAAATTTTAAGCAATATTCAAGCTTCAGTGTTGTTTGAAAGCCCACTTTCAGCAGCTACTCCGTAACTCATCTCTTTGCCGTGATTTTTAAACGATTATTTTTGTTTTACAATTTCTTATTCCTTAAATTGAAGATATTGCCACGTCAATTTAATGTGCAAATTAAGTGAGAATGGTAAGTTCATTATGTTTTTTTTCTACAATACATAGCTAAGAACCAATAACTTGTTGGACTGTCACACTGACAAAGCTATCATAGGGACCACCAACCAGAAGAAAAACGAGTTATATGTATGCTATAACGCTTAGAAAGTTCGTTTTTATCGAGCTCATGGTTGAGCGAAAAAGTCATCGCACTGTTAATATGAAGTGCCTGTCCTGACAAATTTTCTTACCTTTTGTTCATTGCTCGCTTAGTTTATTCGTTTCATTAAATACAGATATTATTAATTAGAAACTTCTGTGGTAACTTCTGGCAATAGAAAATAGAAACTTCTGGCGATGATAAACTTAACCCAGTTTTTTCCAGCAGTCGTTGAAGATGGTGATTTAAAACAAATCCTGAAGAAAAATTACTCAATTGAGGTCGAATCCTTGAAACGCCTGAACGGATTTGACACCATAAATTACCACGTGAAAACTTCCACGTCACATTTCAACGGGGGTCAAAATTACCTGCTAAAAATAGCCCCATGTACAAACCCTCCCCATGCCGCCCAAATATTTCACGAACAGATCAGTTTGATGGAACAACTATATAATGAAATTCCAAGTTTACTACAACGTGTTTTCACATCAAATAATGGGAAATCTGTGATCAAATCTGCGGTTAGATGCAAAAGTTCAGAAGTTAATGATTGTCATCTGCATAACATAGCCTTGCTTGAATATATTGAGGGAAACCCTATGAATACAGTGCTTCCTTTTTCTCTTACCCTGACCGAAGATTTAGGCGAAAAGTATGGACAACTTTCTCTGGCGCTTCAAAATTGTCCAGAAGTAACGACTAGCCGTAAAAATTTTCACTGGGATCCAAAAAATGTGTTGGTCTGCGAACAAAACTTTGGAATTTTATCCAAAACAGGCCAAGAGGAAAGAAGGAGAGTTTGTGAAAACTTTTTATGTGGATTCAAAACAGATAGTCTTCCAAAGATTGAGGCAACGTGTAGGGAGGCTCTTATCCATGCGGACGGAACCTGCAAAAACATTCTCGTCCACCCAGACAAGTCAGTAGTTTCAGTTTTCAATCAGCAGTTTATGATAAACTCTCGAATGTTTAAATGACCTTTTAAGCGATATCTAGTCAAAAGTTGGAAATTCTCAGTTCAAAAAATAATTAAAATTTACAAAATTTATCCCATAGTTTTTTCCAAAAAATTGGCTGCGTTTCCCTGCAAACGTTGCCTATTTTTTTTTACTTTGGCGTATATTTCGAAACGTGGGAAACGTAATCCGGATTTACATGGATCTAGTCAGAAGACCTCCCCCCTGCAGCAACAGAAAGAGGCCAAAACTCGACCAGTTCCCCGACTAAAAATTTTTCGGGACGTGAAAAACTTTTTTTAAATGCAAATGAAACCAAAAATCAAGGTTTCTGATGGCGGAGAGCTTTGGGGAAAATATTTTTGGACAAAATTGACGGGGAGATATAAGTCCTGTTTTGACCAGATTGAGCTGGTTTGTTTCAGCCCTGACTGTGTGAGAGCTATTCTGGACTTCGAGGATGCCTGTCACTCTTATTTGGTCTTCGAGTGTGGCACCCTTCTTAGATCCATACTCACATTTGTGCCAGAAAACGCATTAGGTGATACTACTCAACGTTTTTAAAAACATTCCATACTGTCAACACAGTCAAATACAAAATAACTTAAGGAGGCTCAATCGAAAATTATTTTTTTTATACAAGTTGAATAGCCGAAGAACCGATGTTTGAGAGGCCACCATAACTACTTTTAATTCTTCTGATGTTTTCACGCTTGTAACAGCAAAGTGAGAGAAACTTTTCTGAAAAAAAAACAGAAGCTGACACGAAAGTAAAGATTGAACAAATGCTCAAAAACGTTCTCAGCTGCTTGTACAAACTTGAATTTGAGTTCGATGATAAAAGTGGAAAATTCTAGGTGAGTATGGTCGAGCACTGATGAAAGGGTTCACCAAATTTCGCCCCCTTTCGGACTCGGAATGGGATCTCCTCCTAGAATCTACCTTGTCTCGCTTGTTGCAACACCAGATATCAACCTTAGTCGCATCAGTAAAGAATCCAGAAAACTCCAGCTACGTTTTAGCCACTTATGAAGTTGGATGGCGCGTTTTTGACAGGCTGTTTTCAGAAGATTCGACGGAGCTTCTCAAAATCTGGAGAACTTGAAGTTGAATTTTTGCATAGATCACAGATACGTTTCAATTTTAAAATATATTGTAATGAAAATTATCAAAGAGAAAAAGCTATCAGACTAGAATCAATTGGCATTATTTGTTTGATCTAATTAAAGACACAAACTGGTAAAAACTACGGAAATTGTATAAATTTCTTTTTTTTTCTAAAACTGAACATCTGTACCTTATTTTGTACGATTAAAAATACTTGGTGATATATTACAACAAGTGGTAGGTTCAATATCAATAGTTGCATCGCTTTTTGTTATACTTTGCACATTATTTAAAAATTATTTTAAAGTCAAAGTTTTAGGCAAAAGATGCGTAAAATGTGAAATTATGAATAGCATTTCATTTGGCACAGTAATGTTTTCAGAAAAACTATCTTAGTCTTAGTACAAGTGATTGAAAAGGAAATGACTGTATTATGCATTATAGTTCTCAAGTTTAATATATGCACTATACTCAAAATTACCACCTATTGTAATATATCACCAAATACTACTATATCACCATGGAGATATTGTTGCGACAACGACGTTTGAAGCAAATTTGTATATTTGTTTTTGACCATGAACAAACATCAGGGGTGTAGTGTGGGGGATAATGCTAAAAAATGAATTTTTTTCCCCGAAAAGTTTCATAGTGCGCTGAAAAAACTAATTAACAGACAAAAAGTGGTAGAGGGATTGTTCAAGGCTTTGCCTATCAAGGGATTGTTCAGGGCTTTGGCTTTTAATTTTAAAGTCAATCTTGTCCTCTAGTAGTATATCGCGTTTCATATAAACTCATTTCTCTTGAACTATTTCTTCTAGAACATGCCCAAAATCAGTTTGGAGAATAGCACAAAAATTTAAGTGAAATTTCGATAGCTGTTAAGCAAGGACTGAAGTGTTTATATTTGCGATCAGCAAGGGCGTTGCAACCGGCTTCTAGATTTTTTTCCCGTAATTAACAATTTTCACAGATTAGTCGATTCAGGAGGAATGGTAAACATGCGTAATTTCTTGAAAATGTTAATAAAACTACCATTTTTAAGGTTACGTAGTATTTAGGTGTCATTGGTTTAGGATGTAATTTTTGTTTCTATCAAAATTTCTTAAAAAAATTGAATATTTTGACTGGGATTTGATTAGCTTATTTTACAAAAAAAAATGAATTAGTTTCGATTTAAACAGTTTTTTTTTCAACTAAGTTTGAAAGTTCTGTACACTTAACAAGTCTGATTTTGATTTTTGTTTCTTTTTTCTTTAATTGAACAGTTTCTGCTGATGTTAAATTGGCGTTCCAATTCACTTTGCTTATTTTTGAGGTAAAAACATATTCTTATGCTTTTCTGTGTTTCATTACGGACGGGTCCTATAACTTTTAAATTTTATAGCTCAAAATTATTTTATCAAAACGTAATAAAAAGTGAAGAAGATGAAAAAAGACAGTGATCAACAATAGATTGTAACAGCGCAACCAAGGAACAGGCGGACAAAAAACTAAAATCACTATTGTTAATCTGACTACTTTTGAAATATATGGCAAACGTTTGAGCTCGGAGTGGGTTCTTTCCAGACAGGTTTGGACTTTTTATCTAGCAATTTTTAAATCATTCAAAAGGTTTTGTCCTGAGCACAAATTTGAAAAGATTTTTTCCCTGTGATCATATGTCTTCCAACTTTCGAGGAAAATGATTGTTATACATTCTCGCGGTCCTTTTTTATTCAGACCAATTGCACCTAACTGTTTGCTCCCTCGTGGGCTCGATCCTTTGATCTGCATGGGTCTAGCCGATTGTGCTCACCTCTATAGTATCCAACCACGAGTCTGTCTAAACTGACCGTTTTATAACTTACATGTGGCGAGTTTTCCCGCACTACAAATCCTTCCGAAAATAATTGAGGCAAATTGAGGCTAATTGGTTTTGATGTAAGTTTCATGCGCGATTCAAAACTTCACACTTAAAATTTGATATTACAAGCCTACAATTCATAGTTTTGTCAATAGTTAATTTACCAAAAACTATTTGAGACCAATTATAGGGCAGTTGAAACTTTCAAGTCTTTGCCTGATACCAGTAGTCTTTTTTGTAAAATTATGGGGTTTAAAGGTTGCTATATTGGCAAATTTTGGGACAAATTACAAGCAATATCATTTATCCAATTAATTCAATTTGAACTACCTGCACTGACAAAAATTGTTTCAATTGATTTTACACCCAATTTTAAATTGATCCAAAATGATTAACAATGAACATTTTAGAAACTGTACTGGATTTTAAAATGATTTTAATTGATCTTTCTTGAAATTTTTGGATCGATTTAAGTATCTAAAAAATCGTTTTAATTCGATTTGGATGGTATTACCGACTCACTTAAACCTCAAAATCTCACTAAAATCTATTTAAATCCATTTTAACAGACCCTTGAGCAGATTGATTTTTTTGTCTGAGAAATCCATTTCAAATTGATTTGAATCAACTTTTTTTTCTAAAAACATGAAAATCAAAAAAATAAGCGGAAAATGTATTCTCAATTTTTAGATAAAAACACACGTGCCAGATGTCATAGAATTCAAAAAATTGGCCCTCATAAATCAGATTTTGAGCTCAAAAAATTGCAACAAAAACATAACTAATCATCATTGTAAATCAAATTTTGGCCCTTTTCCAGTTTCCCCCCTTTCAAAATACCGAGTTTTTTGTTTGTTTTACGAGTTATCACGGCTAAATGCGTGATGTTACGCTGCAAAGTATGAAGAACAAATTTGCTCTTATTGTTGCGCTTTTTGATTCGGATTTATTGCTTGAAATATTTGACCTTCACCTCAAAATGGCCGAAAATAATTCAAAAAATTACGTTGATGTATTGAAAAATCTTCCCCCAGATTCCAATATTGACCCTAAATTAATGATTCCTATTATCACTAGCCTTTTGGCAAGGGTTGATTCTCTTAAAAATGTATTAAATGAAAGAACCCAGGAAATAATTGACTTAAAAAACAATGTTTTTGATCTCGAAAAGCGAGTAAATTTTCAGGAAAGATATTCTAGTAAAGATTGCTTAGTTTTTTCGAATTATGATATCAACCCATACTCCCCCAACCTGATTTCCGACATCATGTGCAACCTAGTTTACCATTACTTTGGTGGCTTTGTGTTATCACCGGGAGCTATCAAGGCATGTCATCCTCTTCCGACGCGCAAGGATTCTAGTAAGAAGGTTCCAATCATTTTGAAATTTGTCTATTTTTCGGACAAAGATGAGATTTTGGGAAGGAGGCGTATGTTATCTGGGCAGAAGGGTGTACAGGGAAAAAGTTTGTTCATAAATGAACGTTTGCCGAAATCAGACATGGAAATTAAAAGAAAATGCGATAACATGAACCTTATTACAACGACTCATAACTGCCAAGTGAAAGTTTTTTGCCAACGACCAAATAGCTCATTTTATTCCCAAAGTGTAAATAGTCTTGCTGGAGTGGAACAACTAGCTAAAATTGCAGCCAAAAAACAGATCAGTCAAAACCGGCCAAGACCTCACAACTATCCTCAAGCAGTTCATAAAACCTTCATTACTGGGCACCATACTAGTGCTCAACTAAATACCAATTCAACTCCTGGTATTTCGAGGAGATAGTCAGAGAGGAATTTATCGCCAGAAATATTGAATATTGATAATCAGACCTCGAAGAAATTAAATATTGAAAAAGAATCAGAAGCGCTCAATATAGAAAAACTGTAACAGAGGACGTTAGCAAATAAAATCAATCAACTTGACTGAAGTTCTATTTTTTATTGAAATGGAGAGAAATGTAGTAGAACGTCATATGGGCGACTTAAAAGACAGTTTTTTGTATTTTTTGAATATAAGGTCCCTCAGATGCCATCATGACCAACTCGTTATAGATATTAATCAGTTAGAACAAAAACCTTTGATTATTGCGCTATGCGAAACCTGGCTGTGTGATAATGATTATCTGAATCTCTATCATCTTGATGGCTACCATCCCTTAATTTCTAAACACCGGAAATATCAGAGAGGCGGGGAATGTGCGTTTTATGTGCGCGATGATGTGAACTTTCAATTAAACAATATAGAGGTTAATTTCGAATGCATCAACATATCTATCGTATATAAATCAGTCAAAACTAATATTTCCGTTGTCTATAAACCCCCACAGAGCAAAAATGAGGTTTTTTTGAATCACTTTGAGAACTACCTTCTGTACTTAAATGCTTTGAAAACTAATTTTCTTGTTTGTGGAGATTTTAATATCGATACTTTAGATTGCAAGCCAATTTCCAATTCTTATATTACTCTAATTAAGAGCTGTGGTGCGCATATTTTGAATAGAGATCCAACTCGCATTACTCCAACATCGAGTAAATGTATTGATCATTTAATTGCTAATTTTGACGCCAACGTAAAAACACTGGATTCAACTATTTCTGATCATTTTCCCATAATTTTATCTGGTTACGTGAATGTTGATCCGCAAGAAAATCAAGATTACTGCTATAGAAATCTTAAAAATCTTTACCGTGACGATAAAATTTATAAATATTTATTCCTCTTAGAAAACAAATTGTCAATATTTTATAAGCTTAGTGATCCCAATAAGAAATTATGTCTGTTAGTTGAATCCATAGTTTCATCAATTTATCGTTTTGCTCCCTTAGAAAAATCGAAATCACAAAAACAGTCATGGGTTACCGATTCAACCAAAAAAATCCTCAAAAACCGCAATCGGCTTTTCAGTAAGTGGGTACAAAATCCTACTGAATTGATTAAATTGAAATATTCTCAAGCTAGAAATTTAGCAACCAAGTTAATAAGAAATGAAAAAAGATTTTATTACGACAAAAAAGTTGGAAATAGTAGAAATTCGAAAACGCTGTTCCAAGCCTTTTATGAATTTTGCAAAGGAAACTCCAAAAACATGAAATTTTTGGCTGCTGACGTTTTCAATGAATTTTTTGCCTCAATTGGCGAGAAACTGAGAAATCCTGAATTCGATTACAAAGAAGCGTTGGGTTATGTAGATCGCATCGAAA